CCCCGTGCCCCGCCCCGCCCGCCCCGACCCCCGCGCCTTGCCGCCGGTGACGCCAGGCCCCTCCCGTCAGCGTCTCCCTGGTGAACAAGGCCGCGGTCGACTTCTTCTTCGTGGAGCTGCACCTCGGGGCGCACTTCGAGGCGCTGCGGCACTTCCTGCTCATGGAGGATGGGGAGTTCGCGCAGTCCCTCAGCGACCTGCTCTTCGAGAAGGTGAGGCCTGGGTGGGGCGGGCACAGGTGGGGCTGCGGGAGGGGGTCCGGAGGCCTCGGGACGCCTCGGGACACCCGTGCCCTGCTGCTGCAGCTCGGGGCGGGACAGACGCCTGGGGAGCTCCTCAGCCCGCTGGTGCTCAACTCCGTGCTGAGCAAGGCCCTGCAGTACAGCCTGCATGGCGACACGCCACACGCCGCCAACCTCTCCTTCGCTCTCAAGTTCCTGCCCGAGACGTTTGCCCCCAATGCCCCGGATGTGCTGAGCTGCCTGGAGCTCAGGTACAAGGTGAGCGGCGCCCCCCTGTGCAGATGGGCGGGGGACGGTCCCGGGACGCAGGGCGTGCTAACTTGGCTTCCCTGGCAGGTTGACTGGCCCCTCAACATTGTGGTCACCGAGGGCTGCTTGAGCAGGTACAGCGGCATTTTCTCCTTCCTGTTGCAGCTGAAGCTCATGATGTGGACACTCAAGGATGTCTGCTTCCACCTCAAGCGCACAGGTGAGCCTGGCAGGGCCCCGGTGTGCCCTCAGCCCGTGGCCGTAGCTCAACCCCCCCCCCCCCCCCCCCCCCCCCCCCCCCCCCCCCCCCTGCAGCTGTTCAAACATGAGATGCAGCACTTCGTGAAGGTCATCCAGGGCTACATTGCCAACCAGATCCTGCATGTCACCTGGTGTGAGTTCCAGGCCAGGCTGGCCTCGGTGGGCGACCTAGAGGAGATCCAGCGCGCCCATGCCGAGTACCTGCACAAGGCTGTGTTCAGGTGAGGCGCGGGGCCGGGGCCGCGTCCCCCGCGTCGGGCGTGCTCACCGCAGCCCCTGCCTGCTCCCCCAGGGGCCTGCTGACGGAGAAGGCGGCGCCGGTCATGAACATCATCCACAGCACCTTCAGCCTGGTGCTCAAGTTCCGCAGCCAGCTCATCGCCCAGCCCTGGCGCGGCCCCGAGCACCCCAACTTCGCCCTCCTGCAGCAGTCCTACAGCACCTTCAAGTACTACTCCCACTTCCTCTTCAAAGGTGACCCCTCCCCTGGGGCCGGGCCGGGCCAGGTGGGGTGGGGGCGGGGCTGAGCTGCTCACTGACCCCCCCCCCCCCCCCCCCCC